AAAAAAAAAAAAAAATTAAACATCGCATTGCCCACATATTTCTGTGCAAAATATATGTTGATGCTGTTGTTGTTGTTGTTGTTGTTGTTGTTGTTGTTGTTGTTGCTTTTGTTGTTGTTGCTGTTGTTGTTGTTGCTTTTGTTGTTGTTGCTTTTGTTGTTTATTTGTTTTGTTTGGGGTTGTTGTTGTTTTGGTATAGTTTTTTTTAGAGGAGGTAATTTCTCCAGAATTAAAAAGATTAATACTTTCCAGGTGTATAACATTTTAACTAAACATTAGTTATCAGAACGAAAAAAACATTCTGTCAATTGTGTCGATGGGAGCGTAAAAACAACTACGTTATAAAAAAAACAAATTCCCAGTAGTTGTCGCAGTGTTTCATTACCTAAGTTCGGGGTTAAACTCTGCTGGCGAGGTCGTTCTGTTGACCTACATTCAAACAAAAACTATTTTAAAATTCACAGTAACATTATCATAGAGTGCCACCCGGGGCGATGCCACTGGCTGAAGTGTCTTTTGGCCATTCCTATAGGAGAAAAATTAACTTGTTCTTATACACAGTAGAATTTTAAATGGACTGATTCATCAATGGCATGCTCATATCTGTGCCTGTACTACAACAGGAAACTGCTGCTTTTCTTTCCTATTCCTTACTATCGTCATTTTTCATCTACTTCTTTTGTACGTTTGTCACTCTCTTGTGAACTGCTATTTCCGGGGTGCCTTGACAGCCGAAGCAGACTTTAAGCTGTTGAGGCTAGAGAGGTGAGCAGAGTAAGCCTGATTCCTCTTTTGGACTTCTCTGCTGACATTCACTCCCTGGCGCTCATATGACCGTAAGTAGTTGCGACGTCGTGCTTACTAAAACAAACTCAAACACTTACTTACTTACTTGGATGTAGAACTGGGGTCTTAGCAAGACGGGGTGCTCCATGCTTCCTCGCCCCTCTTCATAAGATTTCATGTCAGTGTGGGCATGCTGATTGTCTCCATCATCAGCTGGGAAAAAAAACTTAAACAACATTATCATGGAACTTTTTCATTGTTTTGCTTGCCAGAGCTCTGCCAGTGAGGTGGTTCTCGTGACCATGATGTGCGCCAGAAAACAGACCATCAAACGATTGAGGAAATCCTACCCGGACTGCTCTGATGGACAGCTTCTGGACAAGCTCGTAGCCTACACATCAGACCAGGTTAGGTTTGCTGAGTGGCTTCTAGAGTCTGATGGTTAGACTACCGGACCCGTAAGGTGAAGTTGTGACATCGGTAGCTTAGTGGTTAGGCTACTGGACCCGTATTCGAGAGGTTGCAGGTTCGAGGGTTCGAGCCTCAGCTCGGTCCGACGTTGTGTCCTTAGGAAAGTCACTTAACAGAACACGAATTTCCCACTTGGTTCGGTCCTTTCGGAGATGGACGTTAAACTCTTAGGTCCCGCTTCTTAAATAACTTAAATAACTTAAGAGTTTTGATAAGGGTGTTAAACCTACACCATTTCACCATTTTTTCACCAGGACTGCTGTGGTATAACAGTTAGGCACCACGCTGTCGCTCGCAGAAAAACAGAGTTCAATCTTTCTGTTGGAAGAATTTCAATGGAGGATCTCGGTCTGTCCGTCTGCTAGGACGGTGTGTCCCTGGAAGCCTGCTTTGACCGTGACAGGCAGGGTTGGAGTCCGTTTCCTAATTTGTCTAAATTGTGTTGATAAGGGCGTTAAAACACTTACATTTTAAATATATTATCACACCTCGGAACCTATCATTATTATTCCGTTATTTTCCCCATCCCACTGTAATTATAAATTATCATTAATATTATGATATGATTTGTCTCCACTTGAATAACTAATTAATTCACTTAAATTTCAAAAAGCCGTTTTGCACTGACACAATGTCCCCTCGTTCTTTTGAAAAATCTATTTCAGTTTCCGGTTAAAAGAGGTGCAAAATCAATTCATCACTAGGCACCTCGGCTACTTGTAGAGTAATGTAGAGCCATTGCTCAGTGATCAAAGCTATATCTTTTTTTTAACACTTAGCAGCGTCATGTTGAGAGGGGTGTAAAACCCATTAATCTTTATATTTCATATATCATTATAGGGACATAGTTTGGTCACAAAAGCTATACAGCTGCCTGAAGGACCGTTCCTCTGTGACGAAAGCTGCATCTTTCTTTAAACCTTTTAGTTAATACCAAAATCGAGTTGAAAATGGTGTAAAACCCATAAATAATAATTGCATTTATTTAACGCATATGCTCTATGCGCTTTACAACAATTATTACCCCAGCAGACCCTCTGAGAACACTCAGAAACATTCTAGGCTTCCACGGAAGCATACAGTGCAAACTGCAGATTTCACGCGCTCAAACACTATCAAATTGACAAGATTGCTCACTGTCTATTGCCAGGTATCCATTTCCACCTGGGTGAAATGAGGAAAATTTGTGCAAAGTGCCTTTCCCAAGAACACAAAGTCGGGCCCCTGACGGGATTCGAACCTACGACCTTACGGTTGCGAGTCCGAGAGCCTAACAACCACTAGACCACCAATGTCTCAGTGACAAAAGATGTATTTTTCTTTAAACATAAAGTACAAGTGTAAGGTTGAAAGAGGCGTAGAATTGATTCATCGCTACTTTGTGTCTATGCAGGCCCATTGCTCTGGGACCTAAGCTGTATCTTTCTTTTAAACGATTACCAGTATCGGATTGAAAGGGGTGTAAATATATCTATCCATCGCTGTGTCTCCTTGTCTTAGTGGCAAAAGGTATTATTACATAATACTATTATTTCATGTAACAGTTACCACTGTCGGTTTAAAGTGGTGTAAAACTCATTCATCAATACATGCAAAGACTAGAGTGGAAAAACGACGTTAGTCACAAACTGAAAATCGTGAGTGTACCAATTTTGAAAACTTGTTGACTCATAACTGTATTTCTGTTCGACTATTGGTTGATTATTGTTGTTAGATTTCCCATTCAACAACACTTAACAATAAACCTCCAGTCAAACGAGTATGAACTTACGAGTCCACAAGCTTTTAGAATTAGCACCTTCACAATTTCCAGTTTGTGACGACAGTCGTTTTTCACCATGTGCTCTTCATGTATTTTATTATCTCCTCACAGGACCATTGCTCTTGGACTAAAACTCTACCTGTGTCTTTCTTTAAACATAATAAATAAAGTACCAGTACAGGGTTGAAAGTGGTGCAAAACTCATCCATCACTATGTCTCCTTCCAGGCCCAATGCTCTGTGACTATACTGTATCTTTCTTTGATCATAATGTACAATGTACCAGTATAGGGTTGAAAACTGGCCACTCTACCACAATATGCCGAAGGCCCAGGAAGTTGTCTCACTAACAAGGCAATCTTCAATGTGAGTATCGGATGCGGGAACAACTTTACTTTTTTATAGGGTTAAAAGTGGTGCAAAACTCATTCCTCACTATGTCTCCTCGCAGGCCCATTGCTCTGTAACAAAAGCAGCGTCCATGAGTATGGTCCGCATGCACGTGCTGTCCACTGATGCCAAAGGATCTCTCCGGGGCCCCGCGCTCCGCAAAGCTATCGAGAAGGACAGGGCGAGGGGACTTGTGCCTTTTTTCGTGAGTAGTTATTTACCTTGCCCGATCCTTACACATTGACGCCATTCCCAAAGGGGGGAAATTAACATGTTGTTATGAACAGTAGAATTGTAAATGGGCTGATTTATCAATGTCATGCTCGTAGCTGTGCTTAAACTGCAATGGGGGACTGCTGCTTTTATATTTCCTAATCCTTACTATCGTCATTTATTCCTCTACTTCTTTTGTATGTTCATTACTCTCTTGTGAACTGCTATTTCCGGGTTGCCTTGACAGTCGAGTTTGTGTGGGTGTGGGTGTACGTGTGTATGTGTGTGTGCGTGTGTGTATGTGTGTATGTGTGTATGTGTTTACGTGTATGTGTTTTTGTATGTGTTTGTGTGTGTGTCTGCATTTATTGTTATTATCTTTCCCAAGTTTCAAAGAAAAACCACACACACACATACACACACACATACACACACATATCATACACACACACACACACACACACACACACACACACACATACACA